AAGGAGCTTAAAGTACAATTGGCCTGACTTACACAGGAGAGAAGAAATACTTTCTCTAAACAAGGTCTAAATGCAAGAACTGATCTCAAAGGTTGTCCTCTGACATGTACATGTGTGCTGTGGCTGCTGTGGCACTTCTATGCCACACACATACACAGAGGCAATAGCACACACATACAGAGAAGCACATATACACACACACAGACACACATGCATAAAAAGAAAAGAAGGAAGGGAAAAGAAAGAGAAAGTGAAAAGAATGGCATTTTATTTCCCTCAGTTCACTGAGAGCATCAGAAAGTTAGAGCATGCATTTCTGAACATGTCTAGTGTTCTCCAATGTCAAAGCTGCTGAAAGACAGCCAAACAGCAAGGCTTTATGTTCCATTGTAGGAACAGCCTAGCTTAAGAGCTGGAGAATCATCACTGCAGTACAGTGGAAAGAGATTGGCATTAAGCTAGGACAAACATTTTAAATGATACAGCCAAGCTGCCATCCAGACCTATGATGAGAAAGAATGTCCTAATGGAAGCTTGTAAAAAAGCTAATTTCTTTAAATAAAGAAAATTTTAGGGTATGTTTGTGGGAGGTCCTTCTGTCTCTGTTTGCTTTTATTGGTTAATGAATAAAGAACTGGCTTCGCCTGTAGCATGGGAGGAGGAAGGTGGAATTAGAGAGATACTATGGAGATGCTACCAAAGATAGATGTGCTGAAACTTTGCTGGTAGGCCGTGATCTCGTGGTAATATACAGAATAATAGAAAAGGGCTGAATTAATATAAGAGTTAGCCAATGAGAAGCTAGAGCTAATGGGCCAAGCACTGGATTTAATTAATACAGTATCTGTGTGATTATTTCGGTTCTGGCAACCAGAACGAACAAGCAGCTAACCCCAACATGTAGGTGATTAATTTATAGACTTAATAACCATCTCCCTTAATCTTAATTGCTTGCAAGAAACACTATATAATTATAGATTATAAATTTATACCTAAACATTTTCGGAAAGGTTCTACTGGGCTACTCTATATAGCCCTGAATGCAGTCAGGTAATGATATTCAAGCTCATGGTGGAACTGGGCTCTAGGGACATGATGATGTCATTCACATGCTTAGTTCTCAAATACTCTCCTCTTTGGTGGAATCTAGGGAACTTTCTCAGAGACGTTTGAATAGAGGAAACTTCTCTTTTGAGAGTTCATTGTTCCAAAAGGCAAGAAAGACAGTTGTGAGTGCTCAGACCTAAATGGAACATCTATACCAACTTCTCCCCCAAGCCTCAGGAAACACTAAGGAAGAAGGGTTGGAAAGAATGTAAGAGTGAGAGGATGAGGAGGAGTGCTTTGAAATGCCATCTTCTGGATGTAACATGCTCATTGCACTTACATATTCACAGCAGATATTCAGGTCACAAGACCTGAAAAAGATTAAGCTTGTCAAAATTATAGCATGGGCATGGTGGTCTGATCATCCCTAATTGAGGAGAAATTGACAATTGCTGGCCACTAGGGGAAGAAGAGTCAATTTGCCTTAAGCATGTGGCTATGGATAGGTTTTCCCTTCTCACATGGATTATTATAAACCTATTTATCATGTCCATATGGGCAACATGAAATGTACTTGGTGGGAGTACATGAAGTTGGGAAGAGAACATGTTGGTGAAAGTCCAAACAGAATAGTATGGAAGATATAGTGAATATATATCATCAAAATACATCAATTCATGTATAGAATGCATACAGAATAAATAAAAATATTCTTACAAATCTTTTAATGTAAAAAAGTACAGAGTGAAACTCTGAAATATGAAGAGGGGTCTGAAGAGAAGGTCTAATAGTTAAGAGTACTTGTTGCTCTTGAAGAAGTCAAGTCTCAGGGAATCCAATACCATCTTCTAACCTTCATGAGGATCAGACTACCTACATGATGCACATACTTACACATAGGCACACATAAATATATGAAATAAATAATTATTAAGTTGAAAAGTAGAGGTCTTATTACCTCACAAATGTTGTCGGAACACATTGAGTGGCTAAGTGTAAAGGATTTCTTGAAGTCAAAACCAGCCTGAGCCACACGGTGATTTTAAAACTGGCATAGACTATACAATAAGACACTGTCCCAAAAAATATTTTAAAAATTAAGGTCATATACCTTTTAAATGAAGAAGACACCAATTGTAGTAGCTGCCTATTGTTACCATTTGTAGAAATGAAACATAGGAACCTCTGAAGGAGAAAGCATTTTTTCTCTTTGAAAGTCTGTAAAACAAAAAATTAAAAATCAAGCTAACATTATATATATAGTTTTCAAAAAAATTTAGGACTCTTTTGGGTCACTTACTGTTGCAAAAACTATCCATTTGCAGCATTATAAACTCTCCAGTATATGAATAACATGACATTCATGTGAAAACAAGCCTTTACAATCTAATTTAATCTAATCTGCCCAGGCTCCTTTATCACTAGCTTCTTCCAAATGGTCTCTACTCAACAGTTATTATGCACACACCTATAACGAATCTATTGTGTTTATTATTCACTGTGGGAATAGACATATATGCCATGAAAAATAGTGCTTCCCCATAGCTCTCAATAAAATGTTAGAAAGTGTTTGGAAGATTTGAGCTTTCTCTTAAGAATTCTATTGCTGTCAAAGAGGCACCATGACCACAGAAACTCTTATAAAAGGAAACATTTAGCTTGGGTGGTTTACTTACAGTTTGGAGCATCAATCCATTATCATCATGGTGGGACATGGTCACAAGCAGGCAGACAGGGTGCTGGAGAAGTGCTTGAGAATCCTGTATCTTACAGGCAACAGGAAATGGTCTGAGACACTGGGCCATGTTTTGAGCAAATATGAAACCACAAAACCTGCCTTTGCAGTTACATACTTCCTCCAACAAGACCACACTTACCCCACAAAGCCACATGTCCTAATAGTATCACTCCTTTTAGTACCATTCCCTTGGGGCCATTTTCTTTCAAACTACCACAGACTTGTTGATTAGTTTGCATATCTCTTCAAATCTTGCTCTGGAGGAAAATGACTAAGCTAAAATTAAGGTTGTAATGATAAAGGCATGGAACAAATATTAAACAGTTCTAGATAGATAGATAGATAGATAGAGACCATCATTAAGGTTGTAACAAGTAAGATATAGAACAATTATATTAAACAGTTCTGTCTTTGACAGATGATTGATATAGATATACAGACATATAGATATATATACTATATATAGATGGATACATAGATTTATATAATAGTTATATTAAACAGATGGTGTGATATTTGGTCATTTTGTGAAAACTAAAATCAATTAAATTTAACAAAGCTTACAAATAAAAATATCATAGAATTAGGAGCATTTCCAACTAAAAGAAATCAGAATGACTCACTCCTCCAGAGGTTCCTGTTATATGCATTATCAGAGAAAGTGAAGTGGCATACCACATACCGAAGCAATGAATTGGGTTTGCTCAGCCACACATGTGCACCCACACGTCACTCACACATGTGCAAACGAGCACATACACACAACACACAACACACAACACACACACAGACACATTCCAAAATAGTAGAAAAGGAATCTCTCTCTCTGTCTCTCTGTCTCTGTGTGTGTGTGTGCATGTGAGTGTGTGTGTGTATGTGTGTGTTATATGGGCAAACAGTGGTACACTGGTACTTCTCCCATGCTCTTTTAGTGACAGTACTCACAGGAAGTCCAACTAGTTTATGCAAGGATAGCTTCTATCTTTTGGCAGAACTTGCAGCTATGTTTAACAGATAGATCCATAGATATGTAGAAGATGATAGATAGATGGATAGATAGATAGATAGATAGATAGATAGATAGATAGATACAGACTGACTGACTGAATGACTGACAGACTGCTAGATGACAGAATTTGACCCTAAGATTTGCTTAACTCCTGTTACTGGCAGAGACTTCATTGCTTGAATGCAGTATTTTTACATACCCCTTATGTTATAGTTCACTATGTACAAGAGGGTACTTCCAGCCAAATTTTATTATCAAATATGAAGCATATTTAGGCTAAACTTAATTTAACAAGTACATACAATGCACTTTTAAAACGTATCTTTTTGAGACTATAATATAATTACATCACTTTCCTCTTCCTCTCTTTCCTTACAAACCGTATTATGTATCCTGCCTTGAACTCTTTCAAATTCATGGCTTCTTTTTTTTAATTTTCTATTGTTACATACATAAGTAACATTATATAGACTGGGAAACTTATACTCGTGTATTTAGGAATATATATAATGCCCCCGCCTCTATTTTCAAAAAAATCATTTTTTTGAAATGGTTTGTCTAATGTTTTTTTCTAATATTGATGCTCCACGAAAGTGTTATGTTCAGCAGGAACACACCAATTTCTAAACCAGGCTAGTTGCAGAGATCAGAGGGTATTTATCTCTTCCATAGCCTACTTAAGCTGCATCTAAGAGTTTTATCTGTGTTCTGTGTGGCCTTTTAGATCCAATTTCTGTATCTTCATGAATCCATCTCAGCACTTCAATTTAGTTTTATCCATGACATTCTTTGTGCTACACGCCATTTGTTCACTTGCTTGTGTACTCGCTGATAGGACCACACTGCCCGTATTTCAGTGGTGACAAAACAGTGCAATGAAAAACGTATGAAGAAGTCACAGAAAAAGTTTGTTTTCTTGTTCCATAAACTTAGACCCACAGGGTTAAACAGCTTCAGTTATCTCAATAAATTGCTTCGGGAAACAAACCCCAAGAATCCCACATCTGAACTAGAAACTAGCTCAGGACCCGAATCACTAACAATAAATATCCTTTGGTTCCTGGTCTCGCTCGCGCATCCCAAAGTCAAACTACATTTCCCACAATCCAACGGAGCCTATATTGCGTCCGGTATCATCTGAACTACAAAGCCCACAATCCTCAAAGCTCAGCCGTGCGTTGCGTTTCCGGAAGTTCCTGTGGTAGTTCCCGTCTTCCCTTTCGGTCTTCGGAGCGGTAGAGCAAGGTCGCGAAGGAAGAGGATTGTGGTGGTGCGGCCATTATCTCCGCCGTCCACCCCTGCGCCCCTTGCTGAGCTTCCCGCCGCACCATGTTGGGTCAGAGTGTCCGGAGGTTCACCACCTCCGTGGTCCGTCGCAGCCACTACGAGGAGGGCCCGGGAAAGGTGAGTGGGGCTCGGCAGCTTAGAGCAAGGGAGGCCCGGCGCCTCCCGCTTACCGCACGCCCGGCTTGGAGAGTGAGGGGAGGAAATGGCAGGCAGGTCCGGCGCTCGGAAGCCCGCAGGCCCTCAGCCCACCTCCCCGAGGAAGGTGGGGTCCCCGGGTCCCAGCCGCGGCCTCAGCTTGCCAGCAGCCTCCGGCGCAGAGCCGCGAAGCCCGGACGACTCCAGGCCGTCTCGTTAATGAGGTTGGACGATGGGTGAAGGTCACTGGGAACAAAGGAGAAGAGGGCCCGTGGCTGTGGATTAACCACGGAAACCAGCGGTCTCCGTTAGGACAAGCCTCGCTTGAGGGCAGGTATAGCTTTAGGTGTAAGTAAACCCGGTAGTTAATGGTAACAGCCGCGCAACTTTTAGGCGAGGCCCCGCTGAGGGATGTGGAAGGCATGGCTCCCTGTGGAAAGGGCAACCTTTGTACTGCGGTTGCTACTGTACTCGGTGGAGAATTTCTAAACTAGAGTGGTGTGTTTGTTTTTAAACTGGCTACTGTGCATGGTAATATCTTTTCAATTATCAAAAATACAAGAGTTAACTTGTTTCTTATACTTAGCCTAATCGGACTTACCGACTGGTATTCAGAAAAAAACTGGTGTTTATTTCATGTTCTGTCGAATGCACCTGATTGTTATGTACACGTGTGTATGTACACATGATTGCCCCCCCCCCCTTTTATTGGATGAAATCAAATTCTTTGAAGGACTGTTGGGAGGCTTTTTCTCTTTCCCAACAGAATTTGCCATTTTCGGTGGAAAACAAGTGGCGGTTACTGGCGATGATGACTGTGTTCTTTGGATCTGGATTTGCTGCTCCTTTCTTCATAGTGAGGCACCAGCTTCTTAAGAAATGAGAATATTTAATTCAACCCTTTAACAGGTAATTAGTAAGCTTCTAATTTTCCTAAAGCAATAATTTCTGTGGTGTACCCTATACACTTACTCATCACACAATAAATAGATGTGTGCTGATTACTGAAGACACTCATAGTCTGAACACATTCTTCAACAAACTTGTAAGATAAGTGATATTAAAACTCCATTGAAGACATAAAGATAAGTTTACTGAGATTCCATGGCTAGTAACAGTGTATAAGATTTCCACACAGGGCCGGGCGGTGGTGGCGCACGCCTTTAATCCCAGCACTCGGGAGGCCGAGGCAGGCGGATCTCTGTGAGTTCGAGGCCAGCCTGGTCTACAAGAGCTAGTTCCAGGACAGGAACCAAAAGCTACAGAGAAACCCTGTCTCGAGATATCCAAAAAAAAAAAAGATTTCCACACAGGGTAATCTTGCTCTTAATTTCACACTTTGTAAATCAGTCTTGTGTCTTTTACTGAAATAAATGACTCTTAGGAAATAAAAATACACTAGGGGCATCCAACCTTAACATTTAAAAAAAAAAAGGTATCATCTACAGAGTTTATGGGGAAGAACCCCACAGTCGGGTTCCTAAACTTTACAAAACAAAACTCAGATTGAGTGAGCTTAGATTTTTGTTGTTGTTGAGCTGCATTTATATCAGCAGTTCTCAACCTGTGGGTTGTGATCCCTTTTAAGGGGGTCATCTAAGACCATCAGAAAATACAGACATTTACATTATGATTCAGAGCTGTAGCAAAATTGCAATTATGAAGTGGCAGTGAAAATAATTTTGTGGTTGGGGTCACCATAACTTGAGGAACTGTATGTATTAAAGGGTTGTAGCATTAGGAAGGTGGAGAACCACTGGTTTATACCTATCCTGGAGTACATATGGCCTCTAAGCTGCAAGCCTGCAAAAATCTTTAGGTTCCTTTTAGGGAGAGGGTAATGAGAAATGAGATGGTTTCTCTGTAGCCCTATCTGTCCTGGAACTCACTCTGTAGACCAGTCTGACTACACCTGCATGCACGTCCTCCAGGTATGTGCCACCACCGCCAGGCTACTTTTTTCAGTCTTAACATCTAGGTATGTAATACATTCTATGAAACCCCCAAGAAAGAAAATACTCTGGTGTTTGTGTTCTCTCTATCTAAGATATCTGCTATGGTATTAGTAAATTAACCTGCTGAAGATGAGAAATACTGCATTAAGGAGACATATTACTACATCTCCATAGATGTTGCATTTATGCATGTGTTTATTTATGCAATGTTTTGATACATGTGATGAAGCAAATCAGTATGAAAAACTCATGATACTGTAAACGCTTTCTGATGTATCAAATTGGTAGAAGATAAGAAACTGCTGTGATGTCTGTCTAGTCAGATGGATTTCTAATGCCATTAATTTTGGTTTTATTTTTCAGAATGAAGATTGTTTAGGAGATTGATCTGAAAACTGGATTAAACTCTTGAACTCTTATTACTAAATAAAATTGTAAATAAATATGTAGCGTAAATATTTAATGCCTCTTCTCTGAAGTAAGGAATGTGACAGGGATAAGCAGTTGCTGACCGTTATTTCACATGAGCTTATGTTTAGTATAATTTTCACTGAAAAAATTTAATTGAAAAACTTTAATTAGGAAATGAAAATGTATTTCCCTAGATACAAGTTAGCAGACATTTTGTAGGTGTTCCTCAGACTCCAGAATGTAGGTATTTGGTCAAAACCCAAGATTTGTTTTCAGGACAAGCTTCTGTTGCTTCCATATAATGGTCACTCTGAAGCTGGGCTGGTGTAATATCCTGAAGTTAGAGTACACAACAGAAGAAATTCCTGGCACAGAGCCAGGAATGACCCTAGATCCAGGCCAAATGTAATGTTAGCACTGGGCTCCTCCTCCCTCTTCTTAAATTTTAATATAAGTATCAAAACCACTTCCTTGTGATAATCAAGAAAAGAATGTGTGGGCTGGTATAAAATCAGGGACTAGTGCCTAGCATGCAACATTGAGGGTGTTAAGATTCCCCAGAATCCACTTGACTGTTGTCTTTAAGCATAGCTGTGAGAGGCATGGTGAACAGAACAGTAGATCCCTTAGGCTCATGGGACAGCCAACCTTCCTGTATCTTTGAATCTCAAGTTCATTTGAAGACCTGTCCCAACCCCACACCTGCATTCAACCACACAAGAATGAAGACAGATCTTAAACATGTTTGTAGGTTTTAGTATAGAGTGTGATAAACTAAATGTATTGTTGAAAATGGAACTAAAACGGTTCTGTGAGAGATGACTATTTCATCAACTACCCTGAGTTCTGCCTGGATTTCAACTTTACCATGTCTAAAGGTGATGTGTAGTTTCATATATTCTATCCTCTTCAGGGGAAGAGTCCTGGAAGAACAATGGTATTTAGTCACTTTCCCATCATTTCAGCCTCATGCTGGCACTTTAATTTTTCTGTAAAGTTTGACACTGTTAAGGCTATACAATATTTTGTCATTTTGAAAGAAAGACTTCTTAGTTCATATATTTCATCTATAATGAGTGGTAAATAAAAGAAAAAGCCCAAAGAGCTATTTCTTAAAAAGGAAACTTGAAGCTTGTGTGTTTCTATGTGCCATTAAGTAAAACTGAACTGAAACTAAAACAGTAGGGCCTCCCGAGTGTGAATGTATTGAGATAATTCAACTATGCCAAAGTGTAATTCGGGTATGCATGTTTTACTCCATCTCCACTTTGCCCAAATTTCACTGATGGAGACAAAGGGTAGGAAATTGTTATTTTAAGAAGAGATCAATTAAGGCTTAAGAGACAAGGAGTGTTGTGGGCTCACTGACTACCCAACCCAACCCGAATGCAATAGAGGACGACTGTCCTTTGACTATATTTACAAACTATACACGTGTATACAGGCCCCACAATTTTATTTATTTATTTATTTTTTTGATTTTTCGAGACAGGGTTTCTCTGTGGTTTTGGAGCCTGTCCTGGAACTAGCTCTTGTAGACCAGGCTGGTCTCGAACTCACAAAGATCCGCCTGCCTCTGCCTCCCAAGTGCTGGGATTAAAGGCGTGCGCCACCACCGCCCGGCTTAGGCCCCACAATTTTAAAAATGAATCCCCTAGGTATTTCGTAAATACTGAGATTTATATTTTAGCCTACATCAGAATCTTAAATTTTTAACTTATCAGCAAATATTTTACTCTAATTGTGTATACAAAAGAAACAATAGCTACTTTATATGTTAATCAAAAGAAGGATTTTGGAATAACTCAAAGCTGATCTTGGATAGACTTCTCAAGTCCATATTTGAATATGGGTTCAAATAACCTGATTGTTACCTGACTTATGTCCTTTGGAGTTTTCATGAATATGTAAGAAGCAAACCCTTCTGTTTTGACAAAGGAAAATTGAATGAACACTGATGCTGTTGAAAGGCAATGCACTATTCAACCTCCTGCTCGGGTTAATGTCCCCCCTTCCTACTCAGTCCCTGAGAGACAATGGTGAGTAGGAGCTCTTTTCAGTGGAAGGTGTGGGAAACGTACATTGTGGTAAGCCTGTGGTGTTTCCGTTAAAAAGATCAACATCTAATTTTGCAACACAGAATGTGACAAATAGATCCCCAAGGCCATTTTCAATTTGAAATAAGTGTATCTCCAATCACAACAATGGGAGATGACAAGATAGTAAGGAAATTTTTTATTTTTGAGGATATTTTTCTTGAACACTATCTGTGTGAATTAGATCCAAAATAATGGAGGGTAAATATTTTTTGGTTTTCAAAGTGTGTTTTTTTTTTCAGGTGCAGTTATTAGGAATTGCTACACTCTCTTTTTGATGGGACTTAATCACTATTGGATCATTTGTAAAAATTAAATAACCTAGTTTCTGAATCCTGTGACTTCATAGATTAGCAAGCAATGTATATCTATTTTGTTTTCCGTAGTAGTTATGTTATCTTTGATTTTTTTTTTTTACTATTCCTACAAAAATCACTGTCCATTTCAAATTTTCTCGGATCTAATAAGAGAAGAGTATCAATTATTCAAAGTTTTTACAGGATTTTGTGTACTTTAGGATAAGCTTTGTGTGCCTTCTTTGCTGGAATCAAAATGTACGACTGTGGTAAATATTAGGCTTTCAGCAAATACATTTAGATAAATGGTGGTAAGGATAAATATTGAGTTCAGGAACACTTCTTTATTCCCCTGTTTCCAAGGAAGAAACCATAAATTGACATTTTTATCAGGTTAGCATCTTAACCCTAATATTAAGTGTTCCACTTATAATTAGGGATATCATGCTAAGAGCCTTTTCCAGTTTAAATCCATCCAGTTTTAACTGCTAGTGTGAGATCTATATCCAATCTCAAGACTGCCTCCAACCAAAGCAATTTCTGTGTGTGAGCACACCTACAAACCTGTTTGGGAAGCAATGGATTTTACCACCACCAGAAACTAATGTGGCTAGTAAACATTCACAGAAATAGAGCTAATTAGTTTAATATGAGAATCATTGTGTCAGTACCAATTACAGAGCAGAGTATTTTGAAATTCCTATGTAGTACTGTCTCCCTAAACCCCTGCCCTTTGTAAACACAGCTCTCAATTATGGTACCAAAGATCCTTTCTGAGAATAAGATGTGCTTGGAGCAATGGTCAGTTTTGCAGGGTGTGTCACTGGGGTTTAGTGTTGTTTCCTGCATCTTAAAAGGGATGTTAGACAAAATGGACAGTTCTATATAACCAGGTAAGATTTACCATGGTGGAACTGGGACACCAACCCAGCCACACAACCTTTGACCTACAACTTGTACTGCCTGCAAACAGTGTTGGGGTAATGGTGGTGCAGAACTTGTGGGAATGGCCAACCAATAACTGGTCCAACTTGAGGCAAATGTCACAAGAGGTCATGCTAGACACTGCCTGGATGGTCACCAACCAAAGGCTGGAGAGCCCAAAGACCTAGGATAGAGCCAAACATGATTGGCGATAGATTAGATAGATGGATAGATAGATAGATAGATAGATAGATAGATAGAATTTTAAAAGTCAATGAAATGATTCCTAATAATATTCTGCTTTGAACTAAGACATTTAATTGACCTCTAACTTTCAAATATAGTTTAAAGATGTATGAGTATTATAGGAGAATATTAAAGAAAATATCAAATAACAGGTGAAATTCATAAATATGAAAATAGAATTTAGACTAACATTCATTTCAGATGAGAAACTTTTCCCCAAAAAATACCATCTATAAACAGCAAAAATAATCTGCAATACAATCTGTTCTCTATTACAGACCCATGTCCTCAAGGAATGTCTGAATTTGATATAAAAAGAAAGTGGGGAATAGGCTTGAACTCATGGCACAGGCATGGAATTTCTAAGTAGGCCACCACCAGTAGTATAGGCATTAGTACCAACAATTAATAAATAGGACTTCATGAAGCTGAAAAGCTTCTGTACATCAAAGGACATTGTCACTTGATCAAGTATGGGGACAATTTTTACCAATTATACATCTGACAGAGGATTAGTGTCTACAATATACACAGAACTTAAAAGACTGGACATCATGAAAATGAAGAGCCCAGTTATAAAGGCAGGATACAGAACTAAACAGATAGTTCTCAAAAGATGAAACATATGACTGAGAAACAGTTAACAATGTTCAACATCTTTTGCCATTAGGAAAATGTGAATTAAAACTACTTTAAAGTTTTGTTCCATCAAAAGTTAATTAAAAAAACAGTCAAAATTAATAAAAAGCAAATGACAGCAGATGCTGGGGAGGATGCAGGGAAAGGGGAATACTCACTTATTGCTGTGGGAGTGGAAACCAGTACAACCAGCATGGAAATCAGTGTGGAGATTCCTCAAAAAGTTGAAAATCAATCTACCACAACATTCAACTATTCCACCCTTAGGCATATACCTAAAGTAGTCTATATCTTACTATTTTTTCATTTTTACTCATAGCTGCTCTATTCATAATAGCCATAAATTGTCAAGAGCCTAGATGTTCATCACTAGATGAGTAGATGAAGATAATATGGAATATTTATACAATGGAATATTTTTTGACTATTATAAGAAAACAAAATTATCACTAGAAAGTGGTGGTGAGCCCTTTTAATTCCACCACTCGGGAGGCAGAAGCAGGTGGATCTGTGAGTTCGAGGCCAGCCTGGTCTACAGAGCAAGTTCCAAGACAGCCAAGAAAATTCAGAGAAACATTGCCTCAGGAGGAAAAAAGGAAGGAAGGAAGGAAGGAAGGAAGGGAATATGTATGTAATTCACAAGCAAATGGATAGCGTTTGAAACAATAATCCCTAAAAAGACAAATATTAAATGTTTTCTTTTCTGTGTAAATGTTAGCTTTTAAAGTTCTAGATATGTGTGTTTCAATCCCAGTTAACCACAATGCCAGAAGGAAGGTGGGTAACTTCCAAGGAAGGCTAAATAGAACATCATTGTAAAGATATATAGAG